GCAGAATGCAGCAGCAGGGTGAGCGCATTGGGGGTACGCAGAATGCAGCAGCAGGGTAATGCAGTGGGGGTGCGCAGAATGCAGAAGTTATGTAAAAATCCTCCAAAACTATTATCAACAAAATTTACTTCTACAATAAGCAAAAAGCTTCAGAGAATGCAAGATGAAGAAAGAAGATTCAGCAGCGCCCCTACTGGTCATTGAGTGGCAGTACTTATGCCTGTGGTCATAAACCACTGAGCCACAGAAAATGCTGTCAGCAAAATGATCACCATGAAGCACAGTACCAGTTCTTCCTGAGAGAGAAAGGTTCTCCAGAGATGCATGAAACTGGACGATGGGTGTGGTTTCTTAATGGCTCTCCAATGTCCTCTGCTGAGAATGAACTCTTTACTGCACTCCTTACTGCGCTGCTCTCAGGCTTGAAGTATGAGAGCATACAGACACTCAGCAGCAGATTCCTCTACAGGTTCCAAACAGGGCTGAGGTGACTAGCGAGCACGTCTGGCTACGCACTCCTGACCACACTCAGCCACTCTACCTCAATGCAACCGAATCGTGATTCACAGCATGTCACAGAGGCTGAGCACCTTGCCCGCATTGTTCACATTACCTGACGTTCACTTGCTGACCAGATATTGTCTGTCTGTACACGTTTGTATAAATGCACTGTTTTACTTTCGGGATGTGAGAGTTCCACTGTAGCTGAAACATTCACACCACAAAGCATCTCAAAGCCTTGATGGCGGAGAGAACATCTTGACGTGTAAGGAGGAGGCTGACTGAATTTATGAGAAAACGGTAATAACCCTGAATGTGGTATATTTTTACAACTTTGATTTCCTGGAACGTAAAATAGGGAAACATCTTGACAACTAACACTGGGCAAGAAATCTGCTGCCATGTGATACTGGCTGGTGATGTTGAGACAGGGAGGGATTTAAAGAAAGTCATGTTGGTTCTTCTAGTGACGACGCTACATTTCGGGAACGGAACTTCACAGCAGACCTACTCTCTTCTTACTTTCTGTTAGACCACCACAGAACACGGTGTGTCCTGAGTTTGCAGATAGTACTTTCGAGCCATTTCCTAACGAGGTGCCAAGTTCGGGATGTTGGTCCATTTGTGCTATTAATTAAGTGTGATTGATATTACCATCCATCTTCCAACTGCTTATGGTAAGACAAGGTCACGGGGCCCGGAAGCCTGCATGGGGTCACAGACTGCTTATGGAAGCCTGCATGGGGTCA